ATGTAGTTATAATTCATTTATTTTCACTGATACTTAATTATTCAATGGTTAATTTATACATTTCCTAGTTGCTGGGCATTTCGATTGTTTCCAGTTCTTGTTGGTTGGTTGGTTTACTTATTGCTGTTACAGGGTTGCTGTAAACATTCTTGTACATAACTCCTGGTACGTGTTCCTTTGGGCATATTCTAAGGAGTACAATTGTTGTGCCATAGGGTTTATGAATTCTCAACTCTTCAAGATAATACCAAATTATTTTTCAGTGTAGTTGAACCAATTAAACTCTTGACATATAAAAGATGCTGTTGATTTGTATCCTCTCCAATACTTGGAATGCCAAATCTTTTAATTTTATCAATAAAGTGGCTATAAAATAATATTTTATTGTAGTGTTTTTTAAAAGAAATGAAGTACTGATACATGCTACAACGTGAATATTTTAAATTAATTATTATTATTATTTTTATTTTTTTGTAGAGACAGGTTGGGGGTGGGGCCTTCCTTTGTTACCTGGGTTGGTCTCAAACTCCTGGCTTCAGGCAATCCTTCTGCCTTGGCCTCCCAAAGTGCTGAGATTACAGGCATGAGCCAACGTGCCTGGCTTGTAGTCTGGTTTTTTTTTTTTTTTTTTTTGGTAAGTAAATATGTATTACTTGAAAAATCAGGTAGAAACAGTGTAAGTATTACTTATAAAGCCAGCTTAAAAAGCAGGTGGAAACAGAAATACCTTGATTCAGAAACTCACATACACATACATATAAAATCCAAACCTACAAGTTCCCACACCCTTCAGTTCTGGTTAAAAAAAAAAAACAAAACTCAGTGGTATATGAGCTGAATATGGGAAAAAGCATAATCTAGAGTTCCTTTTCTAAGCCACTTACTAAGACAAACATGAACTCCTAGATTTTTTTCTGCTGCACTATAAAGCAGCCCTTCAAGTATATGCAGCCTGTGGCAGTAAGGGGAAAAGGTCTGGATCTCAGTCCTACGATGCCTTTTAAATTCAATGTTGATTCCATCAGTTGTGTTTATGTGACATCAAAGTAACTGTTTTAACTTAGGGGTAAAAAGTGTGTCTTTGGCATCACATAGACAAGAGCTCAAGGTGTTTGATCAAATTCTTCATGTTTAACCACTCAGGTTGGCATTTATAGAAGAACCTCTCTTCTGCCAGATTACCTTGTGGTTACTTTCCTATTCCCTAGAGGAACTGTAAATTACTCAGATGATAAACCGGCAGGTGTTACATAAACACCGAATACAACTAAACATTCCTTTCAAATAATGTCACATTAAAACTTGAACAAGACTCAAAGAATTTTTCCATATTCCAAAGAAGAAAGCAATATATAGCAGCCTCAGAAATACTGAAATTGCTAGTAAAACAAATCTACAAAATTGACTTTGGAAAAAACAAACACCAAAACAGCAATAAAAGCAACAAAAACAGCCAAGTTTATGTACAAAGAGAAGCAACCAATATTAAAGTAAATAAAATATTTTCCTATAACCAGACTTACTGCTATGTTCCACGGGTTCAAATGAAAGTGCTTTTCTGCAAAATTATAGTTTACAGCATCGTATGTGATTAAAGAAGTAGCAGTGAAAATGTCTACCTGTCTACCGGAAGAAACGAAAGCTAGGTATGCTATAGAAAGGATAATCAGCTATTTCCTGTTATTTTCCTCAGAACCTTAAGTCAACTCAATCCGACAAGCATTAGCTTCATTTTCCTTTTCTCTGATTCAATTCACACTAGTTTATTGAGCATCTAATATGGACCACTGGTGAAAGATGTTAAATATTTAATGGCAAAGAAGACTCAGCAGGGTATAGGGGGAATTCAAATAGGGATAAGACTTTATGTGGCTGAAAGGCAGAAAAGACATCGTATGCGAGAATAACATCCGAAATAGATCTTAGAAGATTGGGCTGATGGAGATGCCTTCATCTCCCAGATGTGTCCCAGATAGAAAGAACAGCACAAGCAAAGCACGGATATATAAAATAATTATGCTTTGAGACAAGAGTGAATGGTTTAGCAAATGACAGAGGGGTTGAAAGAGTTGTTTAAAAAGAGAAGAAAGCTATAGGATTCTTTAGGTGACTGCAACATAACTAAAATCGAACTAAGCTCAGAAAGGCAGGTATTGGCCTATTTAACTGGAAAGTCAAGAATGCTGAGTGTGGTGGCACGCGACTGTAATCGCAGCTACTCAAGAGGCTGAGACAGGAGGATGCTTTGAGCTCAGGAGTTCAAGACTAGCCTGGGCAGTACAGCGAGGATCCTGTCTGTAAACAAAAACAAAAAACACAAAGTCAAGAAGGTGCTCTGGCTTCACTCATAGCTGGATCCAGGGAGTCTCACTTTGCTCCATAAACTTCACCTCTTTTTTTTTTCTGTTGACTTCGTTTTATAGTTGGTAATTCCTGGCAAATTTTGCCTTTTATCATAGTGATTTCTAGCAGCCTCAACAGAAAATGAGCTGCATTTTCTCAACTGCTTAGACAAAAGTCTCAGAATAGAGATTCATTTATCTGACTTAACTAATTTATGCCTATCCCTGACCCAATTACTGGGTCTAGGAGGATTCCTCATGTGTTCACTCCTAGAGCCAAGAAGAAGGATCACTGCCAGCCAAACTCGGATGAAGGAATGGGTACCTGTCAAGAAACTTAAAGCCCTACCAAATAAATAACTGCCGAAAAAACACCAGGTGTCCCCACCAGGCTCTGAAACCAATCTGAATTTTTCAGTGGCACTTGAGCCACTGAAAAATTTTAGGCAAAGAAGCAGCATGATTAGAATAGTTCCAGAATGATCTGGTCCCAAGGTAGAGAACAGATAAGAGTTGAGAGGGACTGAAAGTGCCTGCGAGAGAAAAGATGATTCGGTAACAATGTTTTAAAAAGAAAAAGAGGGTCTTGGCCTGGTGCGGTGGCTCATGCCTGTAATTCTAGCACTTTGGTAGTCTGAGGCAGTTGGATCACTTAAGCTCAAGAGTTTAAGACCAGCCTGGGCAACATAACAAAACCCCATCTCCACCAAAAGTACAAAAATTAGCTAGGCATGGTAGTGTAAGCCTGTAGTCCCAGCTACTCAGTAGACTGAGGTGAGAGGATCACTGGAGTCCACGAAGTTGAGGCTGCAGTGAGCCATGATCACACACCACTGCACTCCAGCCTGGGTGACAGAGTGAGACTCTGTCTCAAAAAAAAAAAAAAAAAAAAAAAAAAAAAAAAAAAAGAAAGAAAGAAAGAAAAAGAAAAAGAAAAGAAAAGAAAAAGAAAGAAAAGAAAATGAGGGTCTGAACTAGAATTGTGGCCTTGATATTTGAAAGGCAACGGATTAAGGAGACATTTTAGAAGTTTGTATCAACTTGGTTATTGGCTGAATTCTGTGGAAGAGAAAAGGAGGCACCAAATATGATTGTTGTTTTCAAGTCTGGTTGACAGGAGAAACGGGGGAGTCAGGAGGAGTTGTTTGGGGGGAAGCTGTTTAGCTTGGAAGTGCTGAGTTTGAGGATAGCTGGTGCTCCCGGTAGAGATTTTCATCAGTCAGCTGGGAAATGAAGTTGGAATAAAATCCAGAAGCAGAGCCGGGTCCAAAAGGATAATAGCAGTAAACACCAAGGTAATCCCAGGAGGCAGAAAGCCAGGATGAGGGCAAGAGCCATTGGAGCAGAGAGTGGCTTGTCTGGAGGGTTTCTCCATTCACACCCAGCAATTGTATGTGGGGTCCCTACAGGTACTAAAGCGCAATCGAAGACCTGGGGCTTTGCCCAGGTGGCCACTAGGGATGGTAACAGAGACAAGGAAAGAGTACTGGACCAGTTATTTGTGTAACTGACTGATTCTTTCTTGACCTCTCCCCTAGCAATTGAAAGTTTTCATTTCTTCCTTCCATTTTCTTACTTTTTATTCCTCATGCATATTCTAATCCTCTAAGTTTGTTAGCCAGTCTGCACAACTCTTTCCATTCTCCAGTCTCTAGTTACTTGTCAAAATAGTTCCTCTGTGAATTATCATCCCCCTTGACCCCCTACCCACAACACCTTTATTGTCACGTTCATTACAGTGGCTCTTGTGAAGGAAGTCATCCCAGACCTGGGACTAAGATCTTTCCTCAGGAGTAGAGTCACTGTATGGTTGTGGTCATGTTATTAGCTTTTCGAAACCTTGATTTCCTCTTCTATAAAAAGGCTGAGTAACCATACTACTTCATATGGTTGTAAAGATTAAGTGAAATACATATGGTGCAAAAGCAATATTTTTGTGTTTGACTTGCCTTATTGTGTTTCTTAGTGAAAAAAAATAATTTGCAAGAGAGGAGTTTGAAGCTGGAGAAGGATTTAATCTTTCTGTACTTCTTGAATTTCTCACTTCACTCTTCATAGGACTCTCCTCCATACCATAGGACTCTCCTCCATTTCCAACCTTAGTTGAAATCTGTTGCTAAGTGGGATTCTGGTTTACTTGTAAATCTAATTTTGAGATACTTCTTATACAAGGTATCTCAGATAAAGTGACCTTCAAAAGGAAGAAATAAAAGGAGAGAAAAAAGGAAAAGAAAGGAAGAACGGGAAGAGGGAGGGACAGGAACAAGTAAGTTGGCTTCATGTGTTTTGCTGCCTTTTATCAGGAGCAGAAGAAATGTCTATGCTGATGGTGAAGTTAGAGAAAGACAGTGTCACACCCAAGCTCAACATCTGACTTTTTCACCTGTTCAAGGCTACCCTTTCCTGGGACCTCGCTGATGGTTAATCACTAACTTCTGCTACACTAACACAACTCAGTTTAGATAAAATCGTGGTTTTCAAAGTGTAGTCCCAGCAAAAGCAGCATCAAGCACCACTGGGAAACTTATGAGAAATGCATATTCTTGGGCTCTACCTTAGACCAACTGAATCAGTACCTCCACAGGTTAGTACCAGTAGTCTGTGTTTGAACAAGCCCTCCAAGTGAATCTGGTGTATGGTTAAATTTGAGAATCACTGACCTGAAAAAAAGGCTCTCTCAGAGATGTGCGGGTGGTTGCTTTGAGCCAGAGGGAAGTCCTTGCCTTGCAGCACTCAGATCCTACAACATAGGCAAGAAACAGATGCCTGCTGGTGCCAAAGGTCTGATGCTTCATGGAAATATGAAACATGGTTGAAAAGCAGGTAAAAGAAACCTCATTCCTCCATAAGTAGAGGCACCATGAGAGTGAGGTTCCTTCCTTCTTACTCACCTGTGGGATCCCCAGGGGGTCCAATGCCCATAGTATTAGAGAATCTTTGGCCAAATGAGGTCCCACCTTGTGCTTTAACTTCTTTCTTTGTGGAAATGTGGGCACACATTGTCTCATCCTGCAAGGAGCACATGGAAAAATTCAGTTTGAGATTCCTGTAGACAGAATTGATCCAAACAGGGTGACGACCTTCACTGGGCTCCGGGTGTGCAGAAAGCAGAGGTTAGCAGGAACTCTTAAACCCATGAGCTGCACTCTCCTCCCCGCAGCCTTCCTGAATAAAGCAGAACACTATTTTAGCATTCATTCCAACCGAGGTGGGAGACAGCCTGGCCATAACAGGAAGACGTCAAGTCTTGGAGCACTAGGGGAGGGGAATATGAGCATGTGTGAGTGAGCTGAGAAAACAGGTGGTAAGAAGGAATTGGTGCCCTCTGGAAGAGAGGCAAAACGCGGGACAGGATGGTCAAAGCCAAATGTATATCCTTCCCTACAGGTCTGAGGCCAGCCTCCAGCCTGCCTATAAATCTAATTCCCGACTCTGCAGAGAGCAGAAAAGAATGGAAAGGCTTCAAGAAGTCCAAGAATATCTGGTTGAGAAAAATCCACTTTTCTGGACTTCCTACTTTGTTCATTTGCTATAGATTAGAGTCAAGAGTCTGGATCCTCCTTGTCTTTTAAATGTTGTGGTATTCTACCAAAAGGAGTGAAGCAGGAGGACACGGACAGCCACCTCAAGTGACCTTAGAGGGAAGCAGGGGATCTGAGTGTGCTGCAGGCAGAGACCATGCACAGCAATGTGGATTCCACATTGCCACAGTGGGACCGGGCCAGCGCCAAGTTCATGCATAGGAACAACTCTTTCATGAATCTTGCTATTTTGAAAGGGCAGTTCAGCTGTCAGTCCAAGCCCAAATAAATACAACTGTCTCAGTCAGAAGCCCTGAAGAAAGCGCTTCTCTTTGGCAGTCTGATTACAGCTGGCACTGACATTCCACAGAATGCAGTGATTCATGCAGCAGGAAGATGACTGGCTGCAGGGCAACGGGGGGATTTTCTTCTGCAAGAATTTCTGTCATGGCCTTTTCTGACCCTTCACCCTGGTGATTGAAATTTGAAAGTAAAATGAATGACTTTTCTATGAGTTATTGAGTTTTCCTAGCCTGCCTTTAGCATAACTTGCTACTTGGGGGAAAAAGGGAAAAAGGGCTGTGTTCAGTCAAATGTCTGAATTAATGATGTCCCCAAGCATCTTGGATTTAGATAGTAGATTTGAGGATGCAGGGGACACGAGTGTTTCCAATGAGAGATGCAGCTTTATTGGAGCTTGTTATAGAAAGAGAAACTAATGAGCAAATTGGCAATGGGACTCCAGTAAGGAGGGTGACCCCAGTTGGAGGGTGATTTTTAAGCTGCTTTTGTGGACCAGACAACTTTGATTTCCAAGCCTTCTCTGCTCATATTGAGCTAGTTTCAGGAAATGGATTCACACAAGCACACAGCCTTTACCTTACCAAAGGGTTGACAGGGAGAGGACAAGTTGTATTTACCTTAGATTTGTCATCTAACACTACAGGAAGGGCCACATTGGAAAATCAGAGAGAATGGATGCACCGTGTACTATAATAGATCAAAAGTCTGTGCATTCTGTACCAGCCTGTGGTTGGCATTGTTTTTTCCAGCTAGAAGCTTTCCCTAAAGTCATGAGCATCTGTGACAAGACAACTTAAAGAGAGTGAGGGACTGGCAAGGTGACTCACACCTGTAATCCTAGCCCTTTGAGAGGCTGACGTGGGAGGACTGCTTGAGGCTGGTAGTTTGAGACCAGCCTGGCCAACATAGGGAGACCTCCGTCTTTACAAAAAATGAATGAGCCGGGCATGGTGGCACATGCATGTGGTCCCAGCTACTTGGGAGGCTGAGAAAGGAGGACTGCTTGAGCCCAGGAGTCTGCTGTTGCAGTGAGCCATGTTAGCACCACTGCACTCCAGCCTGGGCAACAGAGTGAGACTCTGTCTCTAAAAGAAAAAATAAGATAGTAAGGCTATACTGATGTCCACATTAAACAGCTGGGGAAAACAGAGTAAGTCAGAGAGAACAGCATCTAATTGGAACTGAGAATACCTTCATCCACAATGGCTGTTCAGACAGACTTTGCCACAGCTGTCTCATGATGAAAGGATAAAGGTTTCCTCAATGCTTTCATTCACTAAGCATACTTACTGTTTGTCAAGTGCCATGGGACTGTACATAGAAACAATACACTTAGAGTTTGATGAGTGAGAAAATACTCTCCTAAATAGCCATAATACAAAGCATAATATGGTAAATATCATAAGCAAGGTATACAAAATCTTACAAGTAGCTTTCCAACAATCTCTAAAACTCACTGAGCCTACAAGTGACTGCGTGACAAATTAAGGCGTGACTACAGTATCCGACAAGCATTTATTTAGCAGTACTCACTGGAAAGTAATCTTCATAGGACAGGAGATTTTGTCTGTTTGGTACACTTCTGTATTATTACTGTTGTAATAGGAACAAGGACAATAACAATAGCAGCTACCCCTTATGGAGGGGCTATTACATCAAGCACTGTGGTGCAACGTTTACATTTATTAACTCATTTCATCTTTTCAAAAGTGTTATGAAATAGATATTATGATCCCCATTTTATGGTTGAAGAAATTGACTTACTGAAAAATCAAGTTTTCTAAAGTCACACAGAGCTGGAACAAAGAGAAGCAAAGATGAAACCTGAGGCAACTATTGAAGAATAGATAGGAGGAAGTCACAGAGGTAGGCCAGCAATAGAAAACTCGGAGGAATAATACAAGATTAGTTGTATACACGTCACAGTGCAAGCCATGGTTATGTAGCTATGTTGTTTGTACAAGAGAATCACAAATAATAGAGAATGCATGTGCCGAATGGCCTCTAGCTAAAGGCTACTCAGACTCTAATATGGATACAAATAACTTGGGAATCATGTTAAAATGCATACTGTGATTCAGCTGGTCCAGGACAGGACCTGAGATGAAGCATTTCTAACAAGCTTACAGGTGATGTGATGTCCCTGATCTAAGGCTACAATTTGAGTAATAAAGGCCCTTTGGTCCCAAATGCTGTTCTAAGAACCAGTGCTTAACAGTCTATAAAGAAGTCTATAGTTAAATGAAAACAATAAGACAATAGACTGAAGTTTTTTTACAGGTAACTTTATTTAGTTTTTTCTTATTTATGTTGAGATATAATTCATTGTATTTGCAACACAAGATGATTAAAATAGACTACAGTCATCCCTCAGTATCTGTGGGGGATTGGCTCCAGGACCCCTGCAGATACCAAAATCCACAAATGCTCAAGTCCCTTATATAAAAAGGTGCAGTAATTGCATATTATCTATGCACATCCTCTGGTATACATTAAGTCATCTCTAGATTACTTATAATACCTAATACAATGTAAATGCTATGTAAATAGTTGCTATACCATATTGTTTAGGAAATAACGACAAGAAAAAACCCTGTGCATGTTCAGTACCTACTCAACCATCCATTTTTTCAAATATTTTTTATCTGTGACTGGTTGACTCAAAAGATGTGAAGCCTATGAATATGGAGGGCCAACTGTATCTAGGTAAGCATTAGATTTAATCATAGGCTAAAACCTGGTAACACTATGTCAGTCTCCAATTATTTTTTTCAAAAAAGCTAGGAACCAGTGATCGAGTCCAACTTCTCATTTTATAAATGGGGAAACTGAGGCCTAGAGTGGAGAATTGATTTACCCATTAACAGAAGATGTAGGCTGGGAGTCTCCTGTTTCTGAAAGGTAGAGACAGAGTAAGGCAACAAGGTAGATATCTTAGATTGCAGAGACCATTACTTGTCACATTGAGAAATCTGAATTTTATCTTATAGGCCATAGCAAATTATTGAATAATTCGATAAGAGGAAGTGACATAGTGAAAATTATGAGTTAGGACAGCTGATCTGGTAACAAAATACATCATAAGTGCCTAGAGGCAGAGAGATCAATTTAGAATCCAATGCCTAATTAGCATGATCTATAAAATAGAATCTAAAGTGCCATCAGTTATTAGAAGCACTTAAATATACTCCAAAGAAAGAAAAATTTTAATAAAACTATGGCAAAATGATTCCTTATCACTTTGGAATTTTTATTTCATGCTTACTGAATTGCTCTTTTATACTTATTTAAACATTGCTTTTTATCATATATTTCTCTTATACATTCATAAAAGTAAACTATGAGCAAAATAGATTGCTCAAGGCCGTGGTTCCCAAACCATGCACCACAGCACCCCAAGGAGCTACTGGGCACTTACTGGGGTGCTGTGGGATATACCATTTTTAACACAATGACTCTTGACATCTGTTCAGATATGGCGTCAACTTCTAGCTCAACGTTAGTGACGATTTCAATATTAGATCAGGCTACATTCCTTTTGATGACACTATATTTTGTGAGGCTTTGGTTGATGGCAATTGCTGTGATTTTTTAAAAAGTGAGTACTGCAAAAACAAAATGGAATAGGAAATGAAGATGATAATGTCCAATTTGATCTCAAAATTTGGGATATTGTGCAGTGCTCAAGAAGCACACCCATTCCATAAGTAGGATAATTCTAGTTATTTAAGGATAAAATGAAAATATTTTTTCAAATGGCTACTAAGTTGTTGGACCTATTTAATAAATGGAAATGTTAGATATTTCTTTTGGCCTAGGGATGCTGTGAAAAAGGTACCAAGAAACTAGAAGTGCCATCAACCAAGAAAGTTTGAGAATCTCTGGGTTAAAGTATTCCTAAAACTTTTTGACATCCATACTGCAATTCTTCTGGATCACTCTTTGATTCACAGTAGTCTACATCCATGTTCGATGTGTACAGCATTATGCCTGTGCCATAGGTGCATTGGCAATGCACTGTTTTTTAAGAGTGCTCCACTATTGTCCTTGCAATATATTTTTTCAAGCTCCATTCATTTTGGAAGTTTTGTTGCTGGAAAATATTCAGAGGTGTTCATGAAAAGTTTTTAGGCAATAACCAGAACTTGTACTTAGAACTCATTTTTAGGCAATAACCGGAACAGT